AGAGAGGGAGAGAGAGGAGAGAGAGAGATAGAGAGAGAGAGAGAGAGAGAGAGAGAGAAAGACAGCCCTTGAAGCCTTGAAGGTACACTCACATGATCCCCGGGCAGTTCTGCCCAGCCATTTTCCTTCCGGGTTGTCTGTGATGCGAATTATTTCAATGTCCTCCCCTTGCTTGAAGCTCAGTTCATTCTTTCCTCCTTTGACATCACAACAAGCTTTTGCATGATGGATGACTTGAATGGGGCCTGTTAGCTACAAGATGACAGAAAAGCATAACAGAAAACCACTAAGGAATACAATTTTGAAAGACAATAATCCCACAACTGTCATTCCTGGTGAAAGAGTCAAGGGGAAATCACAGAGGTACAGCGAGACCAGCAAAGAACAGGAGAACATGTATCTGTGGATCATGAGAGAGTGGCAGGGATCTGATGAACGTAAGCACCCTGGAGAAAACATCTAATCAAAGGGCACCATGTATGTACTCATGTGCACTAGCCCACCCTTTCTTACATCCGTCCATCTGTCCTTTCCTTCCTCCAGTACTTTCATTTACTGAATATAAATCTGTAGTAAATACTATCTGCTACAAATAAGGTAGCATTTTAGAAATAGCTTCAAAAATAGTAAACAAATACTAGGCAACGTTTTTTTGCAACTAATATTCTGGGTAGCATGGTGGCTTATTAATAGCAGTATTATATGTCTTAAGCATGAGTCCCTAGTCGTGAACTTTCTATTGCTAAACTGATATCTTCAATAAGTTGTCTTTCATCTTTTGATAAAAAAATATGGATTGTGATATTTTGGGGGAGAAACTATTTTGTTGAGTCTATGCTATCAATTGTGTGACATATTAATTATGTCCCATCAAAAACATTTTTAAAGCATAGGTGGATAGCCAACTACCATATCAGTTATGGAATTTATTAGTAAAAGCAGACCCAAGTAAAAAAGGTTTTAGGCTGAGCTGGATTTATTCCAGTTGGCCTCTGTTTGTGAACAATCTGTAATTTGGATATTTGAATTACAGATCTTCTGCAGCTGCACTGGACTGGAATCCATACAGTGTTCAGAATGTGAATTGGTTACTTGCTGGCATTTTCTTGCTGCATCAGTGAAATACATATCATCTCGTCAGTTTTTGAGCAGACTTTCTTAATTATCTTGAATTTGTTTTAGTAGTCAATAAACATGGACTCAACAAAAAGAAAGGAAAAGAAAAATCTAAGTTGAATTATGATGTGCTATAATTCTGATGGACCTCACACTTCACAAACCCCAGTGTCTATCAGCACCTGGGTGGGATATAGCTTATAAGGTCCCAGACTTGACAGCGCTTTTGTTCCTACCTGTTGATATGACTTCTCCATTCTGTTTTAGTGATTAGCAATATTATTTGAATGAATATGTGAAACACTGTATTACTTATTTTTCCAAATTAATCTCAAATCCTTGAAAACTATGAACAATGTTGCATGAAAAGTACAATATATAAATATATATATATGAATTAAATTAATTTTTACTTGAATAATATACATCCTGGTAGTCACGCATTCTGCATGAGTAAAATATTTTAGTTTTCACATTGCAATCATAACTTTACTTGTACGTAAAAAAGCTTTTTTTTTCCCTCAAAAACTGTGAAAACTCATAGTAGATATAGTGGCTTTTATATAATATTTCATTCAGTCCCATAACAAACTATAGAAAAATGTCACTTATTTTCACTCTAAAGACTAAGAATCTGAACCTCGGAAGAGATAAGTAGTAAGTCCAAGAGCACAGAGCTTGTATGTGCAGCTGGGATTGGAATCCACATTGATCCAAATGACTCCAACTTGGATGTTTTCCTTGCATCATGCGGTTGAACTTTTGTTTTAACATAACAAACGTACTGGGAAGTTAGGCATGAGTCATATTTTGTAATTCCATCCATTAAATCCTCTAGTAAAATAAATATTTAAAGAAGTAACTATTTAAATAAAATGATATGAATTTCTTTAAAAGTGAAAGACTAGTTTTGTAATTCAGATCATCACTCCAAATATTTCAGAGGCAGGCACCAGAACACACCAGATGGGTTATGCCATCAAACGTGGTATTTCGAAGAAAGTTTAATCATGCATGAAGCACAGTGGTGGTGGCAAAAGAGGTGACAAAATTACCAGAGATCAGAGAAGAAAGAGGCTGGAAATTTAGGCATTTAAAGCGGCATGAGAGACAGCAGCTTTTAGAAATCACTAAGAGATTAGAAGCGTATGGTTCAGATTCAGATGCGGGCATCTCTAGTAGCTCCAAGGAAATGTAGTTCATCCAGGAACACTGTGTTCGTTGCTCTACTATGTGATGTGCCATTGGGACATCTATGTGTGTGGTTCCAGATGCATGGCACACAGTAATGAGGTATTCGTCTCCTCAATCAACATAAAATCCCTGGGTACCTGCCAATAATAAATTACTTAAATTTCATTTGGATTTTTTTGTCCTGTTTCATTTTTGAGGGTAGAGATAAGGCGGTGTATCGAACAAAAAGCATTGTTTCAAAACAATGATTAAAAAACTCTCTATCTTGGTAAATTCTCTTCTAATGTTACAAAAAAGTTTCAAAATGATGCCATCGCACTCCTCTTCAGCAAGTGAGCTCTTACCTTAAATTTCTTCCTTAGTTCTTGTTCTTTCTTCTCTTTTTCTTTCTGTTCCTTCCGTTCTAGCTCTAACCTCTTCTTTTCCTCCTTTTCCCGTTTCTTGTCTCGTTCTTTGGACGATTCTCTGTGAATAGAAATGGCTAAGTTGTGGCTGCAATGAGCAGGGGTCTGTAGGTCAGGAACCGCTACACAGAGAGGTGTCTACCCACTAGGGAAGAACGTCTCTAAAGAGGAGGTGGGGGTAACAAGCTAAAGATGTAATTATTCCGGGTGTGTGAGATGCTGTGTACAGCCAGCAGGAAGCTCTCAGTCACAAATACATTCGCTGGCAGCCCCAGCTCCCCCCCCCCCCCAATGTGTACCATAGGGAAGGCACTAATCAGGAAGCTCCATTCCCATCCTCATGGCCTGTTGACCTCTCTCACTCTCGCTTCCGTGGGCATGCATGAGCATGTGTTCACAAGCACTCGTATTAATTTTGATGTAGCGATTAGTTAGAACTGGTTGAATAATTAGGTAGAGAAAATTAAGACACCTGAGCTCAACATTTGATTGAATAAGATAACTCCTATTTTCACACAATTTCCAAGGAACTTCTCAGTCTCTTTTGAACTCTGTTGTGGAGTCATGGAGTCATTTCTCATATCTATCCAGCGGATTAGAACGTGGGCATCTGGATGCTAACGGCAGCCCACAGTACCTCTGTGTCTGAAGAAGGTACAATACACAATGAATCCATTTCCTCAGGATACTGAGAGGGGGAAATACAAATTCTTGAGCCTAGTCCCTGACTGTCTCTTGAGTAGCTTGCAGGCCTCACGTGACAGTTTGTCGCCAGAGTCCTATGTAGCATGGAGAGGTAAACCAATTTTAGTCCTTCATAGTGAAATAAGGGATGCCATTACATGTGGGATAATGCTTTGTACACTGTAAAGATTTGTCACCCATATTTGTTTAATAAAACACTAATTGGCCAGTAGTCAAGCAGGAAGTATAGACAGGGCAACCAGACTAAGAGAATTGTGGGAAGAGGAAAGGCTGAGATGCAGTCACCAGCCAGACAGAGGAGGCAAGATGAAAATACCTTACTGATAAAAGGTGACTAAACATAGATAAGAATTTTGGGTTAATTTAAGTTGTAAGCAGTCATTAGTAATAAGCCTGAGCTAATAGGCCAAACAGTTTATAATCAATATAAGCATCTGTGTGTTTCTTTGGGGCTAAATGGCTGAGGGACCAGGCGAGACAGAAACTTCCATTTGTGATTACAATCCTTTTCTTCTTAGTGCTTTTGCACACCCATGCTCCCTCTTATAAAATGTATTCATCATAGAAGAAAATTCATATGGTAACAAATGCAATGCGTACATGTCTTCGTATGTTTCTCCTTCACTCTCTTGTTCCTGGCAAGAAAAACAGATAATTATTACCTGTGATTATTGCAAAAGATCATACATGCATTTCACTGACAACTTATTTTTAAAATAAATGTTTATGAGTTTATATAATTTGAGGCTAAATTGGCTTATTTGAAAATTTCTTTTTCTTTCTTTTCTTCCTTTCTTCTTTCCTTCTTTCTCTCTTTTTCTTTTTCTCGTTCTCTCTCTCTCTCACTCTCTCTTTTTCAAATTGTGAGATACTTAGGAACAAACAAAGGAGATTTCATTCTCTGTCTTGCTCAGCCATTAGCTGTGCAGTCAGCCAGAACTTCAGCATTACACTACCGTGAGTCAGCATACCGACTGGCATGTAATATTTCAAGGATCCCAATTAAGTAAGGTTAGTAATGGAAAAAATACCATTGATATTTGTAAAACTTTTTATTTGTCTGTTTATAACAATAGAAAGTGAGTCATAATAATTGTCAAATGCTCCAATTTTAGCAATAGAAAAAGAGAAATAAAAAATATCTGACCTCTTCTAGAGTTCCAGGACCTACAGGATTAAAAGAAAATACATTGTAATTAACAAGTACTTCAACATGTGGTCATTAGATAAAATACTTGTATACAGTTCAAAGTATAACAGAACTTACACTTTAAGGCACAAAAAAAAATGTGCCTTAGATACTTGGTAGTTTTAACACTTGTAATTTAATTATAGAATTATTTTATTAATTTTCCCAAGATAATGCCAAAGTCAAAAACATTTATGCTACATTTTACTGCCATATATAAAGCATAGTGCATTTGATGTATGTGCTTGTGTGACGTGCACAAGAGAAAAAAAAATCACAAATTGTCCGTACTTTTTGGTTCATTCTTTCTCTGGGATTTGCTATCATGTATCAAGTCAAGGTGACTAAGTTAAGAAAAAGACTACTCGAGTTTGGTGTAATATACATTCTATCAGATATCAAGACATAATGCTATAGTTAATAAGTCAATAATATTAAGAACAATCATAATAATACACATAGAAGGACAAGAGGATTGGAAAGAGAGTTCAGGGACAGTGCTGGCTAGTTTTATACCAACTTGATCCAGGCTAGAGTTATTTGAGAGGCAGGAACCTCAATTAAAAAAATACCTCCACAAGATCAGGCTGTAGGAAAGCCTGTAGGACATTTTCTTAATAGGTGACTGATGGCGGAGGACCCAGCCCATTGTGGGTGGTACCATTGCTAGACCATGATAGTCATGAGGGTTCTCTAAGAAAGCAGGCTGAATAAGCTGTGGTGAGCTAGCTAGCAAACAGCAGCTCCCAGGCTTCTTCCCTTCCTCCTTGGTTTCCTATCTCCTTTACCACCTTATCCTAGTCCATTCTAAAACAGGTCCTTCCTTTTCCTCCTCTTAAAAATGACACCCGCAAGGTCATTAGCTGCTGTTTTCTGCCTGAAAACAGGTGTGGTCTGGACCTAATCTAGGGTCCAGGAGGAAGCCCCTTCTGTGTGGGGTTCCCCTTCAGTACTTAGGGACAAGGGACTAAATGTGTAACCAGTCATGAGGGGAGAGGCTGAAACCTTATGCTGAGTATTCGCAAAAGAAAACATGTAACATAGTTTTTATATAAATCACACACACACACACAAAAACACATGAGAAGAATATGTGCAAACACACATTAATATTTTAGGATGTTTGCTTATAGTGTGAGAAAGAAGGTAATGAATCATGAGGATTCTAGGGGCATAAATAAAACAAGGGCTCCTATATAGACCAATGATAGTAATTCCATAAATGATTCCATGACATTTGACTAATTCAAACATGCAGCTCAGAATTTTTTGAAAAAAGTTATCCCTTACCATCAGAGTGCATGACACCATCTTGATTTTCTTCACTTATAGTATTTCTGAAAACAAGAAAGAAAAAAGGGTGAGAATAAAGTAGACACTCTTGCTCATTTTACAAATGAAAACATACACAGACATATGCATGTAATAGCAACTGATGAAGAAAGAGGCCCCCAGTCTGAAAGAGAGCAAAGAAGGTTGTTCAGGAAGGTTCAGAGCAAGCGGTAAATGTTGTAACTATAATATAGTCTCAAAAATAAAAAAATGTAAAAAGAAAGTGATTGAATTATTGCTTTCTTATTAATATTTGCTCTGACTTAAAATTCATACATCACTGGAGTAGGTTTCAGTATTGTGTTTATGCTGTTACTGTGGATTTTAAAAGAAAAAAGGAGTACTAAGAAACTCAAGTTCAGCACCATCAATTCTTTTTTTGTTGTTTGTTTTTTTTTTTTTTTTGTTTTTGTTTTTCAAGACAGGGTCTCTCTGTAACAGTTCTGACTGTCCTGTCCTGGAATCCACTTTGTAGACCAGACTGGCCTTGAACCCACTGATATCCACCTGCCTCTGCCTTCCAGTGCTGGGACTAAAGGCGTGTGCCACCCACTGTACACTGGCACAGTCTAGCCACAGTAGACACACTCAATGTGTCCATTGCTTTTGGGGACTAACAGGCCCATCTGTAGTGAGTTACTCAACACGGGGAGTCTCCCAGCATTTGATTGGTTCTCTGGCACATACACAGGAAGAATTTATTCCTATTCCTGACTTAATCCACCTTCAAAAATAGATGACACCAGCTACACTTCCCCATGTGTCCTTCCTCTCCAGTGCTTACCCAAGCTCTGCTAAAAAAGCACCATTGGTACATGGGACTCACAAGCTCTCGGTATGTAGCCAGCTATGCACCCCATTCCTGTTCTGAGACCAGTGGGTAAATGTGTAGAAAACAGTCAACCGTTCTGACTCTGGGCATTACACGTAACTGGTTTCCAATCTCAGCTCTTCATCTAATGATCTCATTTACTCTTCTTCCTAGCCCACCTTTCTTGAGTCGTCCTTTTTGATACCATTCAAAACCTTGACCACTTTTCCTCAAAAAATGATCTCATCTTCTCTCCTAGGAAATCAGATAACCTTGCATTTTGTTCTACTGATAAAATAGGAGTAACTGAAAAATGATTTCTATTAAGATACAGCCCCTCAGAACACAAACGTATCTATCTGTAGCTGAGCTATGCTTACCTTCAGTCCACCATTTTCTCTACCTATATCCTATTACATCCACCTTCTTAGAAGTTTTGCGTCTTCCACTATCTCCCTTTTCCGCGCGTTGTCATGGTAGTTATATTCTTCTCCTTTCTTTATCCTCACGCCTAAAGATCTCACTCTTGGTTTTCTCCTTCAGTGCAAGTTGCTGCTACCCATAACAACACTTAAGACTTTTTCTTGCTGTTGCCTAACAGTTCCTCAGAGATTGACACATTCTGAAACATTCTATCCCTCAGGAAGGCAAGCCACCACAATCCATTCAGGAAGTCCCTGATAACTGACTAAATTCACCCCCACTCCATCAGGGAAAACATGCCAAGCTGCAAAGAAGACTCTGACATGCTGAGCTGTGAAGAAAACTCTGAGACGAGACCAGCTGCCTGGAAGAAGCAGAAACCAACCTGGGAGAGGTTTACAACGGCTGAGTCCCTTGGGACATTTTTCATCTGTGGAGCTACCTGCAGGCTGTGCAGTGTGCTCGGGTTCCCAGCTTTTGTGAGCTGTCTCCCATGCTGGGGGTAGACTTTGGTCTTTGAATCATTTATGCTCTTGTAAGTAACCCCTCATGCATATTCCTCTAAGTAACTCAGTAAAACACATTGGCTCACCACGTTAAACTTTGGTGGTATTTACAGTTTGGTCTCTCTTGAGTTCCTTATCTAGGGAGAGATATGTGTGTAGTGTCTCCTCAGGAAAAGTTTTGTCCCACAACAATTGCCTGTCCAAATCTTCCACATTACCACAAGATAATCATTTTTCCCACAGCCAGGTATTCACTGGCTCTACTTCTTATCCTTTCCTCTCTTCTTCATTGGTTATTATCTGTCTTGTATTGCCAAGTTCTCTAAAAACTCCCAAAGATCAGGTTCACTAGAATTGCTATATAGCTCTTCACCTTAATGGCCATTTTGCCATTCTTGAATCTCCTTTGTTTACATAGGAAATACCTTCTGACTTACTTGTTGTCCCTCTGGTCACTATCCTACAGTTTCCTTTGTGACTTTATGTTCTTTTAGCTTCCCTTGTAAGTAATGATTTTTTGTCTCTGTTTTGGCTTTCTTCATTTCCTCTTACTCTACATTTGTTGGTGACTGATTCCATAAGTTCTTACAACACCCTGTAATAGCTCAACATGGCTCACGTCCATGGTGAAATCTCTATCTAAGCCAGGTCTCTCTACTGAGTGTCAGAGACATGACTGTACCTCAGTGGTCTCGTACCTTCAGAGGTATAGGAGTCTGGAAACCCCTCTTCCCCTGCTCTGGCTTGGAAGTCCTTCAGCCTGTTGCTGAAGGGAGTGCCTTTCCTGCAGCCTAAGCCTGCTCTCCTGAGTAGTTTTCCTACATCAAGGAACAGCAGCATCACCCATACATCCCATTGAAGCTTCAAGTCATCCGTTGTTTCTTCCTCTTCTTCAGCTCCATAGACACTAATCATCAACATTTGCCAGTTTTCTGTAGTTAGTAGGCCCCCTGAGTCCTTCCTTCAGTCCTTCTCTCTCTCTCTCTCTCTGTCACTTTGTTCATAAAAAACATTCAGTAGGTGTGTTTCTGACTTAAGGAATTTTTTCTTTTAATATAATTTTTTTATCTTAGTTTTTATTCATTTCCTTTCAGTGATGTAAAGATAGGGTACAAAATTGGCTTAAGAAAAATATGCTTGGTATGCTCATATGCCTTGCTGTCTGTCCTGTTTCCCAGAGTCCTATTTCTCCTCTGCTATGGAGAGTCAAATGTTTGTTATAAGCATCTGTTGAAAGGACACTATGCAGCTACAGAGATGGCTCAGCAGTTAAGAGCACCTGCTGCGTTTGCTGAGGAGCCTCCCTTGTTTTCCACACCCTCATGGTGACTTGTAGCAAGCTGTAACTCCAGTTCTGGGGGATCTGAGACCCTATTCTGGCCTCAGTAGACACCTGGTATGCATGTGGTACACATAGTATGTGCAGGCGAAACACTCGCACACATGAACTAAAGGTAAGTCTCAAGAAAAGAATGCACTAGAATCAAGAGACAAGTTTTACCCCAAACCCCAAATCAAACACAATGAAAGAAAGACCTAATGCAATCAAGTCACCTTGTATCCAATTACCAGTCTTCAGGAGAGAATATGAAAACGCATTACAGGGGCAGTCAGAAAACAAAACCCAAACAAGGGTAATCATACTGTCAGCGAACAACTTGATGATCTCAACAAACACACTGCAAGGAATTAAGGAAAACTGAGGTAGTGGGAAAACCTCCATGTTAAAGAAAATTATGAACGTGAATTCCCAAGGAAAACTGTGAGGGCTTAATCAAACTTAAGACACACATGTACAATGTGTTTGAAACTTTTTTTTTTTTGACGAAGTTTCACTATATAACAACTCCAGTGGCCTTGACCTAGTAACCTCCCTGTCGCCAAATCTTCTTGAGTGCTGGGATTAGAGGCCTGGGTCATCATGATGACCCAGTTGATATTTTATACTAACAAGCTCTTTTCCTAGTGAGCAGGGCACAGGGCTTGTGCAATCTGTTCTGTTCTCTCACTGCTTCACTCCTGGAATTCCTCTCCTCCCTCCTCCCCTCTCCCTCCCTGGGACCCCAATCCTCTTTGAAGTAAGCTCTCCCTAGGCAGCTCTCCCTAGAGGCCTTGAACTCTCAGTCCTTCCAAGTGCTGGAATTATAGGTGTGCACCATCACACCTGGGGTCATTTCTGCTTCTCACATTTTCTTTCCTGTTGATACAGGATTCTTTTGCTGGGTACTCTCTGTTTCTCCTCTTTCTCTATGCTTAGCCCATGCTTCCCTTCACTCTGGTTCTTAGAAAGTTTTTGTTTTTGTTTTGTTTTGTTTTTTAAACTGTTAACTCTGTGTGTGTGTGTGTGTGTGTGTGTGTATGTGCCTGAACATGTGAGTGGAGCTCAGAAGACAATGTTCAGGGGCTGGGTCCCTCCTTCCACCTTTTTGTAGATTCCAGGAAATTGAAATTAGGTGGCAGGTTTGTCCTGGTAAACACATTACTGGTCGGGCCAGCTGCACACAGGTATTCTGGGTATTCCGGTTTCTTGTCATCCCCTGCTGTGTCCCCTGACCCCCTTGACAATATCTGGTTGTTCCCCAGCTCTAAGCCTGCTCTTTGTTGCTTCTGACTGTGACAGAGTGGTTATCTCTCTATCAGTGATACTAAGTAATCTTTATCATCAAAATGGATTGTTGCCATTTGTGTAAAAGGATATTAAAACAAGCAAACAAACAACCTACTGGTCTACTTTCTAAACTATCTGGATAGATAATAATTAAATGATAATAACAAAGGGTATTATCCTAGCACATTCATGCAAAGCATTTCTTACCCTAGAGAATGTTATTTGCACACACATACTCAATATTATGCCTCATAAAATTTGATGCCATTTTATATAGGTCTGATCTTATGTCATCTATCGTGTTAAGATAGTAAGTATGAAATAGTGACCACAACAGCAGAGATGGCGGAGAATAAAATGGACAAGGATGAGGGTAAGCAATAGGTGTAAATGTCCTAAGAAGCTCAAGTCCAACTGCCACCAACTGCTCAGTGTTCAAGGCCTAGAGAAAAAAACCACAGATAGGCCAAGAAGAGAACAATGGAACTAGTCACAACCAACAACATAGACCACGGAGCAGAGGGAGGGGCAAAGGAGGAGAAAGAGCAGCAAGCTTATCAGTGGAGCTGGCTTTCACCACAGCTCCTTGTTTTCATGCCACGGTACTGAATGAAGTTCATTTAACAGTAAGCCTGACATGTTGGAAAGCAGTTAGGG